CAGGGGGGTTTTTCCCCCCCCCCAATATCTTATGGTCCTCCTACAAAAAGGATAAAATCAAAAAATTGAGAAAAAAATGAAACTTAATTCACAAGTAACATTAAGACTCAAAGGTAGAAGAAAAACTAAAAGCACAAAATTTGATTTTTTTCTTTCAGTCTCATCATTTTGGAAGAACTGACTGAATTCCAATGTTTCAATTTTCCATGCCGCCCATAATGGAAGCAAGACCTTGTATAACTCTTTGAGCATCAATGGGATTTGCACATACGACATTAAAAGTTAAAATGCATTTCATACTTTCCTTCCTTACTTACCAGACTGGGTTTTAGCCTGATGCGTAAAGCAATTATTTTTTCAGTTTTCAATTTTTTCAATTTCTAGTAAGGTCCAAAAGTTGAAGATCAGACATGCATGTTTAAAGCCCAGCTTTACACTGGGTGAGTCCCCTGAGCAGGGGATCTTATGGCCACCTGAGTGCTTGTGGTGTCACAAGGGAACAGGTCATAAAGCAGCAGGCACCAACTGTAGCCAGGATCACTCCTCTAGGCAGCAACTGAGTTCAGGCTGAACTAAGGCACTCATGAACTATGTGCTGTTCTGCCAAAAACACCACCACCACCACTTACATATGCATAAGAAGCAAAGCAGAATTTGTTGCCAAAAGTGTTTTAACTCACCCAAGATAGACAAGCTAATTTCGGTCTATAACCTTCCATGAGGTCTTACTAACCATGCTCTAATTATTGTTCCACTCAACAAAGAGTTTATTACAATAAAACCGCTCAAAGAATGAAAGCACTGGAGAGAGAAATTCAAACAAAAATGGCTAAAGAGGAAGTTTTGCTTCCTTGCTGACCACTCGAATGACCCCAGTAGACGCAGCTACCAAGCTGGAACATTCATCTGATCATCAAGCCAAGCCACAAAGCAGTAACTTAAAAATACAACTACGTATTAAAGCTTCATTATGGGACAACAAATAACAGGAATCTAAAGCAGAGAAACACTGTAATAGCCGTAGCATTTTGAAATACAAGTTTGGCCTAGACGAAAGAGCTAGCTTCATCCCATAACCTTTTTCCTCACCATTTTGAGAGCCATGCTGACCAACAGAATTCCCTGCTATCTTAGCAGAAGTTTCCTGGGTTTTTTTTACACTATTCTTTATCTTTCAATACTTGCTCTACTTCCCCTCTAGAGGGCCCTGGGCTTAGCTCTTAGCTGTACCTTCAAGCCACCCCCGTTGCTACGTGCAGTCTTTCATTGTTCTAGTCCATTTGTTTTGCAGGAAGAACAACCCTGGTAAGCAAAACTTGTTTAACTTGTTGTCCTAACTTGTGCTTTGTAGCACCCAGTAAGTATATATCCCAGGGAAGGGTGAACTCCTCGCTGCTGTCAGACCTGTCACTTTGAGCAGTATGGATATGGTTGTAAAATAAGGCTTCCTTTAGGCTTAGGGGCACTTTCCTGATGGCCCTTGCGTGCATTAGGGAGCACGGCACACGAAGTCCTGACCCACCTCCTACCCGACACCGAACCAGGCACAGCCCTTGAGTCCTGGGGTGCTGACTGGTGAGCAGCTCAGACAGGCCACAGCCTCCTTCAGCTCCATTAGCAGTCTCTGGAGAGCAGTGCACTTCTTGCTGCTGAATGAACTCAAAATTAACAAGCAATTGCCTGCCGCGTGCCAAGGAACAACTGGAGCCTCCTCAGCGTCCTTCCTAAGGTCAGCATCCAGCTGGCAGTCTGGCCCTTAAGAAACGCTCCCCTTCACCCTGAAGTTAATGCAGCTTGTAAAGCTTCTGTCCACAACGGGCAATGGCAGCTTATCTGTACATATAGATTAGATTAAACAACCACAGATGTAAGAGCACAGGGCAGAAAGAAGCACAGCAAATGTTAGCTTGCTAAAGTAAAAGCAAATAAAACTATGTGGATGGATTAATTTTATATTTAAAAATATCTATGTCACAAGAGCCATCTATGCATTCTGAAGTTAAATGAAAAGAAAGCTTGATGCCAATGCTCATTATATTATATATGAAAGTACCACAAATTTACCCTGGTAATTCTCAGATACTTCCTGGACAGCTATTCAGATCATGGTTTTAGCCCTTCACACCCTTCCTTTCCCTCCCTCCCCCAACAAGTCAGACATCAGTGATGCATTTGGAAACAGCCGGGGCAGTATGCCATGCATCCAGCTGCTACTCCAGCAAGGAATTACCCCTTCACCAGCAGCTACCTCCCCTGTAAGCACAGGTAACACACGATTTGGTGGAAAGGTCAGCTCTGCAAAACGCCAGCATACTCTCCACCTACTGTAAGTCTGACAATACTATTTCACATTATCGAGAAAGGTAGATGGAGGGCAGGGCGGTTATGTGATTTCATTTTCATGGTTTTAGGTTTGCAGTAACAGTTTGGCAAAGCATCTCCACTCTGGTGGGAAGCCCTCAACAAGGACAGTTGGGAGCACTCCCTTTCATCAGCTCTGCACTCAATGGCAAAGAGCGAGGGAGGATCCATTGCCCACCCACCACTAAAGGAGATGACTAGAGGGACCTGGACAGAGCCAGGTTTGCTATCTATATCATTGTGTAAGCAAATTACTAGGCAGAGCAGGTGCTTATCTCCTAGGTGGATGTTTACACATACTCTGCTCTAAAACGGCTGGAACCAGGAAATGCTGCCTGTTATTGACGGGTACTGGGTGGCTCTGAACTTTGGGTGGAATACAGCCAGGGAAGCGTAGCAGGCAAAAAACAGTATTACGTAATGTCAGAGTTGTCACCCTGCATGAACTCAAGCTGAGTTATGACTCTATTCATCAACTCTAGTTTCACCGTTTGCAAATTTCTGAATATTTCATCTGACAACTTTTATATAATTCTTAAAAATAATTGTAGTTAACGTGTAATGATAGTGAGGAAATCAGCTAGAAAAAAAGTGAAGCTTCTTCGGCAAAGTATCCTTGAAAAAGGTATACATAAAGCACGTAAACAATTATCTAGAGTTTGTGTATCCATTTAATGTATAGTTTCATATTACAAGCTAGAAGGGGCAATGTTTTCCCCATACTATAGACTTCGTGATAGAAATAGCCACCTTCTGTGTTGCTACAAAACCAAAAGCTTTCATGATTTCACATGAAAATCTAGAGATACAGATAAATAAAAATCCAAGATAAGTCTTTGCACTGTACATCCAAAGTAGGTGCTTTTACTCCTAGCTATTTTGGAATGGGTTTTCTTTCCTTTTGACCTGCCTTTTTGGACCCAAGGAACATTTCCAACACATTTTGATAAACTGAACCAGATTTCACCTACTGCTTACAAAAAAGTTTTTTGGTTTTTTTTTAAATAACATTTTCTGGAAAATATTTTAACCACAAAACTCCTAGTCTTCCACAATTCAGAAAGCAAACTCTTAGAACCAGATTAGCTTTGAAATTCCTTTACTTCTTTCAGTTAACATCACAGGCAAAAGATTTCAGGGGTAGGATGCCCAGGAAGAACAGAGGCTGCTGGCTACGCCAATCAAGGGGAACACGATTCCTCAGGGACAACCTTCTGGTGTGGTGGTTTGGGTTTTTTTTGTTTTTTTTAATAACTTGTTTTCAAAGTTGCTTTGATTTGAGTTACTTCTAGCACAGATACTTGTCTCCTCTTTGACCAGTGATATCAGTCTTCTGATAGGGCCTTAACTGTCTGAATGACAAAATAGTATCAATACTCCAAAGATCATATTAAATATTGTAATTATATGAATTATGTTGTGTGAGAGCCTGGCCATTGAGATAAATAAGTTCTTGTGAAACCATCTGATCAATACTTAGATTCCAGCCAATAAAGTGACCAAAATACTCAAGCTGTGCTGTCACTGCTCACGTAGATGAGCTTCTCTGCTCAGAAAAACAGATTCCTGAGAAAATTTATTACCTGCAATAGTGTAGACTTAACTAACATGCATTTTTCCTACTCCAAAGGAAAAATAAACTATGCTTTTAAAGAAACTATTCTTAGGTCTTCTCCCAAAAAAGTCTCAAGAAAAAAAATGAGAGAGAGAACACTACAATTAGACTATCAGCAGTTATTGACATATTCATCTGGAAGACAAATCACACAGTGACTAAATTTAGTCAACCAGATGGGCAAAGGACAATACATTTGGTTAAAAGTAGACTGGTTTCACTTCCTTGCTAATTTAAGAGTACTGAAAACAAAACACAAACAAGACGACATTGACCAAAGTTTATATTTGCAACCTGAAAGTGAAACAAACACTAGTCTCCAAAAATCATACGGCACTGCGTGGTATTGCCAACGCAGGATACTACAATAACATATTGTTTGATTCTGAGTCATACTTATCTAGATATACAAAACAATTCTAACACCAGAAGTAGTTTACTAGAGAATTTTGAAAGTAGTACCCAAAAGCCTTGGTTTAAAAAAAAAAAAAAACAACAAAAACAGAAACACACACTTCACAACTTTTGATAGCTTTAAAAAAAACACTCTGAATTTGCTGCTCTTGAAACGCCAAGCAGATACAACAGCGACAGTACTGATTTCATACCAGAGTGCCTCCATAATTTCCAGGAACTTCTACGACAGCTTGTTCTTCCTGCCCGTTCCATGTTTCACTTCTGACAGAGGTCCACAAGAGCATTTCTGGACACCCGTCATGGGCTAAGCAGCAGCTTAGTTTGGAAACGGACTGGACGCAAGAACTCAATAAGAAAACCAATGATAAAGTTTAGTTGCAGTTGACCCAGAAGCGCCCTCAAGCCACCGACGTGAAGATTCACACGTTACACACGGCTGGTCACTCGATGAACTGCGGTCGCCCACCACCCTAACGCTGCTATTTTGAACTCCCGGGCACAGCACCGCAAAGAGCTGCGCGTCCGGCCGGAACGAGAAGCCATGAACCTCTCCCACCGCCAACCGGCAGGGCGTCGCTCCCTCTTTACTAGGTTCTCTAAAGCAGCTGA